TTTCCGAATCGAATTTGGGTGCAGAAACGTGGAAATACAGATTGGGTTCGAACAAAAATTTTCATAAAATTTTTGTGAACGCTATAGAATATATTGCTAATGATATATTGCTAAAACTTTTGTGAACGTTATAGAATATATTGCACGCTATAGAATTTACAACAAATAAATTAATCTAAATTTAGTACAAGAATTATATATTGATAACGATTAGGAAGATAACTTGAATTCTTTGACTAACGAACGATCTAAGCTCCAAGCTTTCACAGAATACCTGAATCTTCCACGTCTACTCCTTGAAACTTGCAAGACTTAGAGTGTGGGCTCTAGGGTAGAACTATCGTTTATGATGACTCGCTAATTTTTCTTTATTCATTATCATCACATGTATGTGAAGAAACTGGGAGATGGAAAAACTTTTCTTCTCTTTTTTTCTCTCTATAAATTCGGCCAACACTAAGGAATTATAAGATCAAATCTAATTCTCCAATTTTCTATTGTCTCCTATTTATAGATAATTATGAGAAGCCTTTGCTTGTAGACAAAGTAATAGGAAATTGGTAGTTACCATATTTTTAATCTCATTAAAAATACAATTTCCCTTTTAATATTAGAAACAAATTTTCCCTTCCCTTTTAATTTTGTGAACAAAATTTCCTTCCCTTTTACTATAGGGTGGCCGGCCAACATTAAGAAAGGAAGGAGAAAATTCCTCCTTAATCTAGTTTCTAATTTTAGCTTAAATTCAATTCCAAATAAAGTATCATCTTACTTTCCCTTTTGAATTTAATTGAAAAACTTGTCCAACAAGTAAACTGGATTACTTGGTGAGCAAGCAACTAAATCTCAGTGGGATTTTTTCCAATGTCACACGCCCCCTGCGGTCCCACCACAGTGTGTGATAAAATAATTAAATAATCACATTATTTAATATATAATTAATTCTCAATTAATTATTCACGAGTGAAATAAAATCCTGATAATTCATTTTGTCTTGTAAATATTACAAGGATGACAGGGGGACTCATGGACCTATAATTTCAAGCTCCAATAAAATTAATAATTAATTAAACTCTTTAATTAATTAATTAATTCTATTAATTCCAAAAGTTTCTCCACTAAAAACTTAGAATTGCACTCTCAAAATTATAGACATAGTTTACTTCTAAGAACTTGAAGTGTCCATTTTATATAGTTACTACATATAGATCAATCATCCATAAATAATTCATAATTAGAGCTAGGTGAAATCCGATAACCTCTCTAATTACATCTTTATCCTTGAGTACCATTGATTCTCTTAGTAATTCAGAAAACACATTCATGAATTCAAAGCTCCTACTAATCCAAGTACCGAATCGACTCTCAAGGGAATTATTAATCTGCTTCTTTCTTAAGAAGGAATGGATTCCATATTGTAACATTAGCATTCCTAACTACCTATTTCTCCATGTCTCCAAGATACAAGGATAAGATCTAAGTGTGTCGAGATCTTTACCGAGTAAGTCAAAAGACACGTATCCATAAATAGGAGTCTGCTAATAACTCAGGATTAAGATCATTTTATATATGACCATCAGTAGACTAAATTAGAATTTCTATATTTAACAGAAATTATAAAAAAATCATATGGTGTTTGTGTCCCAGTCCTACATAATCCATTATGTAAAATACACTCACTTCGATATCTCGACATATCAGCGATCGGATAAGATCGTTCCATTCAGAATGAGAATGATATGTATTAATAATGTGATCAATTAAAGATTCTGAACTTTAATCGATAACCATTATGGACTTTATGTTTTGATTATTATCCTTAAATATTATCCTCTAGTATATAACACTTATATATCATATTTAAGGTTACATAAATAATCGTAAAATTTTCAGTGATATTCATAAAGTATTCAATAATACATGCACATAAATAATAAAATTTATACTTTATTAATTAAAAAATAAAATCCTTAATTACATCCCATGCTCTCAGGACACCATTCCCAATAGGGCCGTCGAGTCCGGGTGGCCCAAACTTACACCTCTACGTAAATATGAAAAAATGACTATTGAAAAGTCTATATCTTTAACCATCATATATGTATTAAGAAAATGTCTGTTTTGCATACTTTTCCAATCTAATGTGATTTTGACCAAATCTAATGATCATAAATTAACCCTACAAATGAGGTTGAGACACTGTAAAATTTTTACAATATACTAGTTGAGGCCACGTGCTATGCACGTAAAGGTAATTCTGCAAGTTTCATCCTTGTATTAAGTTTAAATGATTGTGTTATTACTTATTTTGTTTTAATAATAGAGATATTAGTTAGTTATTAGTTAAGAATAACTTTAAAATGATAAGGATTATATAATGGAAAAAATTAAACAGGGACTCTTTTAAAAAACTATATTTTAATGGGAATATGTGGGTGAGAAAAACAATTTAACAAAAGTGCATCAAAAAAGGACTACACAATAGAAAATCTTTTTAAAAAATGAAAATAAGAAATTAAGCAAGAACACATATTGTGGATAAAATGACAAAATTAAATGAGAAAAAAACAAAAGGAAGAAAAGCAAATTATAAAAAAAAACAATAATGTATAGTTGCCAAAAAAATGATAAGATTAAATTAAAAATGATATATCAAAGAAGCAAATAAAAAAGGAAGGAGGACCTAAAAAACAAAGGAAGAAAAGTAAAAATAAAAAATAAAAAATAAAAACAAAAATGAGGGACTAAAATGCTAAGATTAAATAAGGTTGAGAGAAAAATTAAAAATAAGGGACTAAAGAGGCAAATAAAAAAGGAAGGGGCCCAAAAACAAATAAAATTAAGAGAAGCAAAAAAAAAAGAAAGAGAAAAAAGAGAGACTAAAATGATAAGATTAAATAAGAATGAGAGGGAAAATAAAAATAAGGAACGAAAGAAGCAAATAAAAAAAGAAGTGACAACCAATGTTTTGCAGCTTCTATATATATATAGTAAGATAGTAAGATAAGATAGGATTACTTGTTTCCTTAAGTAAAATTTGTGCATCAAAGTAAAAAAAAAAAAAAAAAAAAAAAAAAAAAAAAAAAAAAAAAAAAAAAGAGAAAAAGAAAAAAGTCAAACTCAAGCCTTTTAAAAAAATTTTTTTTTTTTTTTTTTTTTTTTTTTTTTTTTTTTTTTTTTGTGGCTCAAATAAAACGAATCTACGTATCTTTCTCTCTTTAAAAGAGAGAACCCCTTTTTCAGGAGGGTGCCGTTTCGTTTTCCCCTCACGTTTTGTCGCCTGTCTTTTTTTAACCTCTTTTTCTTTTTAGTATTTTTTTTATTTTTTTATTTTTCTTTTTTTTCCTCCCTTATATTTTTTATTCATCTTTTAACCTTTGATTTTTATATATTTTTAGATACATCCCTTTTAAATATTTTTTTACAGTTATTTAAAATATTAATTTTTTTAATTACCTTATTAAATTAAATTTTTTTAAACATGTCTTTATATAAAACATTTTTTATCTGTGATTCTCATAAATTATAACTTCAATTGAGAAACATTTCATATAAATTTTTCTTGCTTAGTTTTTTTTTGTCTTTTTCTTAATATATATTTTTTCTAGTTTTTGTAATTATTTCTTGAATCCTTTTTTTTCTTTTTTGATAATTTGTATAATAGTTGCTTTAAATAAGTTTCAACGTAAGAATAATAACTGTGAGAAGTGACAACCAATGACAATGTTTCTTGAATTGTATAAAGGCTCCCAAAAAGAAATAAATATAAGGAAAACTGATTCAGCAAAATAAATAAATAAATAAATAAAAGGAAAACTGAGTATAATTTGGAGGAAATATCCAGCTGGAGACAGCTAAGTGGGCGTGGCTTGGACCCACTCAGTGCAACAACTGCAAATATGGAAGAGATGAGCCAGCGGAAATACAAGTTATGCACTTCTTTTCTTTCCTTTTTTTTTTCTTTTTCCAAGTGTTCTTTTCTTTTCTTTTTTCTTTTTCCAAGTGTTTTTCTCTTTAAATTATTAATTATAATTTGAGAATCTTTATAATGGAGCATGTTATTTTACTCCAATAATAAAAAATAATTAATTTTAATTATTAAATTAATTTTTTAACGATTAAATTTATATAAGTCTGTATTAAAAATTTACAATGTACCATAAAAACTCCCTTATAATTCCAATTTTTAATTTTAATAGTATATACTAGAAAATAGTAAAAATGTTCCAAAAGAGAAGACAGTTTATTTCTCACTTCAATTTCATAACCTCATGGAGAAAAGAAAAGAAGAAAAAGAAGAAGAAGAAAATCCAAAGTAAAATAATTCATAAGCATTGTTTTTCTTCCCCTTTTGCCCTTTTAAACTCATTTCAACAATGCTAAATCAAATTAAATTAAATTAAACGTTACTAAAATTACAATATCTGAATTTGCAAAGCATTTATTCTCAAGATAACAATAGTGTTTACGTTGACTTCTCTAATTTACAATTCAAGTTTCTAGTTTAATATTACATAGCAGAAAAGACGCAGAAAGGAGAAAGTTCCAAATTTGGAAAAATATTGTGAGGATTTTCAGAAGAGAAGACAATTATTTCCCACTTCAATTTCATAATCTCAAATAGGAAAAGAAAAAATAAAGCCAAAGTAAAATCCAATTCAATTTTCTTCCCTTTCTGCCCCTTTAAACTTTATGATAAAATCAAAGAGAATTTTTCTAATAAGCTTTAAAGAGATAATCTACCGGTAATAAAAATCGTTAAATTTAATCAGAAACAAATCTAATAATTGAAAATAAAAAATTACGAATAACTCATTTTTTCTAGACGTACAAAAAAATCCCCCAAGATGAAATTAGATTAAATTGCAGAATCTAAAAATGTAAAACATTTTATTCACAAGATCAAAAAGGGATATGCATGATTAATTGCGAATTGTAATTATAGCCTTTATGGTACAGTAAAGAGATAAGAGTTATATATATAAAGAGGAAAAAATTTTGAAGAGAGAGAGAGAGTGAAGAGAGAGAAAGGGCCACAGAAGAATGAAAGTCGTGTGTGCCAATGCCATATCATCATCAATAGTAAGCCCAACACCACCAACAGCAACAGTCCCACCCACACAACTTCTTCAACCGCATCAACCGTCGCTTCTCTTCACTTCTTCTTCTTCTTTTCTTCTTCTTCCTCTCAACTACTGAAATTGCAGAACTCAAATTCCTTTCACACTCTCAATCTTACTTTCAACAGTCACTGTCGAAATCTAATTCGCAAGAAACGAACTAGAAGTTGAAGACGAAGAATGGGAAATTGCGGTACTAGAGAAGAATCTGCAGTTGTCACCAATGCACAAGGTTCGTTTCTGTTTCTAAATCTCCATTTTTACAGATCTAATGCCTCTGGCATTGTTACCTTTCTCATTCACTAAATTAATGGCGTCTTGTAATTCTTGTAATGATTCTTCTTTATCGTTGGCTTAAATTTGGGGATTTCTGCAACATTTCGGATTCCGGAACTGAAAAAGCACAATGCGACTCTTTCACTTCGAGCGCGCATGAATTTCACTGAGATATTTGAAATTGAAGTTGAAATTTCAATTGGAACTGAAAATTCGAGTTAGGGTTTCTAAATTTGTTCCTTTTTTTTGTTGGGGAATAGTTCAACAGCTGAATATGATATCGTCATTGCCTGTTAAGAACGGGGAGAAGAAGCAGAGCCACAATCGGTCCATATCAGATCTGAGCGATCCCTCGACGCCGCGGAACTTCGAGGACTCGCGGAAGAATGCCATGCTCTACACCCATGTCATTGCCTTTACACTCTACGAGCTCGAGACCATCACGAAGAGCTTTCGCTCCGATTACATTCTCGGCGAAGGAGGCTTTGGAACTGTGTATAAAGGGTACATTGATGAGAATGTCAGGGTCGGCCTTAAGTCTCTCCCCGTCGCCGTCAAAGTTCTCAACAAGGAGGGTCTTCAGGGTCATCGAGAATGGCTTGTAAGAAGCTTACACACACACACACACACACACACACACACCCACACACACACACACAGAGATATATATTGGTCTTGCCCATTTGGGTTTTTTTTGAGATTTTTTATTTTGACTTGTTGGGCTGATGATGAATTTTTGTCACTTTTTTCTTTACAGACTGAGGTAAACTTTCTGGGGCAGCTTAGGCATCCTAATCTGGTAAAGTTGATTGGATATTGTTGCGAGGATGAGCACAGGTTACTTGTGTATGAATTCATGTTCCGTGGAAGCCTTGAGAATCACCTTTTTCGAAGTATGAATAGCTATTTTTTCTTTACATTTCTAGAACTCTTTATCAGCAACTATTGTATTTTAAACCAATATCAGGGACAATTGGGAAGTGTCTTTATTAATAACTTGCACAACATTTGTCTATATTCCTTACTTTCCTTACCAGTTTGATGTGTTAATATCAAGCTCTGGACTCTCTTTCTTTTCTTTTCTTTTTTTTTATTTTAAAGAAAAAGCGAGTGTGGTTGTAGTACAATTTGACATGTTTTTTTTTTGCTCTTATTAGCTAGTGTAAATGAATAGATGAAATGAGAAAAAGAGAGAGGCTGCAAATATTCCATTGAAAACAAAAATCATTTCTTCCAATTCTTTTTTTGAGGCGAAACCAACTCTCTGATCTTTTCTTTATCCATTACATGCTATTGCTGCTACCGTGCTTTCTTGTATGGCGCTCTAGTCATATATATTGTTCTTGAACTAGTTTTGCACTGACATTGGTACTAAGTTCTTACAGGGTTTGGTTACTAGTTCTAATGTGAAATTGGTAGTGATACTATTTTATTGCATAATTAATTTGGTTGCAAAATCTTTGATTTTTGTCGTGAGAAATTCGTGTTTTATCATTTATGATAAAGTTTGTCTGCTTTATTTCATTATAACATGAAGTTTTTTCTATTTAAATCTAAAACAAGTTTTTCTCAGAAATTTATGTGGTGATATAAATTAATTGTTCTCCAGTATTTTTAGATTGTGGTTTGTTTGCAACAATGTTATTTTACTAGGTTTCCAGTGATATGTCCACATATATTTGTATTTCTCTGAACTTTATTTTCTATGTATCCTTGATACAGAGGCATCTGTTCCATTATCTTGGGCAACAAGAATGGCGATTGCTCTGGGAGCTGCGAAAGGTCTCGCTTTTCTTCACAATGCAGAAAGGCCTGTTATCTATCGGGACTTTAAGACGTCTAATATATTATTAGACTCTGTGAGTAGTGTTCCAGACCTCATAATTATACAAGTTATTTCATAATGTTTATTCTTTATAGTAGGATGATTTCCTGTTTATCCAACTGATTGCCAATTAATTTTGCAGGATTATACAGCCAAGCTCTCTGATTTTGGTCTTGCTAAAGCTGGACCACAGGGTGATGAGACTCATGTATCAACTCGAGTAATGGGTACCTATGGTTATGCAGCTCCAGAATACGTAATGACTGGTATGCTTTCCCTATATGTTTCAAAATCGGAAATCCTTGATTTTCATAGAACTAGGTTGTACTTTTAAATAGAACATTTTGGAACATTTTGGTGGGACATTTTGGATGGAACATTTTGCATGGAACATTTTGGTCTTGCTAAAGATTTTCTGCATGGAACATTTTGGATTGTCTTGTCGTGTCAAAAAGATTGATTTTTCTGTCACTATATGATATAGTTGACTAACAATTAGGTATTGGATAAGATGGTGGGATTGTTATAACCATTTTTACTGTATCATTTAGAGATTTCCTCCACATATATAACCCTTCATATTCTGTTCTTTCACGAAGGACATCAAGAGTTTGCTGGTTGATGCATTCACATGTTTTTTCACATAAGATTTGAATGGTTAAACCTTCAGCTTTGTTGTATGAAGAATGCGAGCATGTGAAATTTTTACCCTGAATTACATGCAGCCACTAACCGAATGATGATAAAGCAACAAATGTATTACATGTTGCCCTAATTTGCATAGGAAGTATATAGAGAGACAGTTTTCAATAATTTAACAAGATCCAATATTACAATTTTGTGATGGAGCGAGAAAGATCTTTATGTAAGTGCGGCGTCAATTTATTTCCGCACAAACTTTCTTGTAAATATTACAAATATGTATAGAGGCAATATTTGCTGGTCATATCCTCGCTTGCACAGAAAAGATCTGTACCTTGCTTACTTATTGTGATCTAATAGTCATGGGTGCCAAACCCTAAACGAATGCCTTCTGTTGCCTTCATGTCTTGGGAGCATCAAATCCTTTTACAACACATAGAAGTTGTGCATGTGCTGCTTTTCTTAATGAGGTTTATGTGCAATGGGCAGGTCACTTGACTTCCAGGAGCGATGTTTACAGCTTTGGAGTAGTTCTTTTGGAGCTTTTAACAGGAAGGAGATCGGTTGATAAGACAAGACCAAGCAAAGAACAGAACTTGGTAGATTGGGCCAGACCTAAACTAAATGACAAGAGAAAGTTGCTTCAAATAATTGATCCAAGGTTGGAGAATCAGTACTCGGTAAGGGCAGCACAGAAGGCATGCAGCTTGGCATACTATTGTTTGAGCCAAAACCCCAAAGCGAGGCCATTAATGAGTGATGTAGTCGAAACGCTTGAACCTTTGCAAAGTGGAAATGCCGCAACAGAAGTATCATCATCGTTGTCACTTGGCAATGCCGGCCCATTTGCCAGGAGTGGAATCTCTGATTACCGGATGCGACCAAGGTTCACCAATAATGTCGGTCCTGGCTCTAGTTGTCGATCTCCTAATCCGAATTGTTCCCCTGGAGCTCCCGCAGCATGCAGAGTTAGATGAGAAGTGTCAATCCATATGTATACTTGCTTGGTGTGCTTTTTTCCCCCCACCCCTTTTTATGAAATGGAGAAATTCGCTTGTTACATGGATGCACTCGCCTCTTTTGATCTCATGTACATGATTTCATGGTGATCCCAAACCTGTGTTGATTGTTTTGTTTTTTCCTTGGTTCTTGTATTTATATTCCGGTCTTGCTTATGTATCAAAATGGGAATTGCCGTATGAAAAGCTTCCTTAGCCTTGTAGCATGTAGTTAAGGATATGCTGTTGGATGGAAAAAAAAAAAAAAAAACAAAAACACCTAGTTTTTATGACCATTTCCTGTCTTCTCTATTTTCGGTCCGTTTATTTTATATACTCAAACTTAAAATATTAATTATAGTATAGTATTTTTCTCTCATAAAAAATTTAAATTTCAAACATATGGTTTCATTACAGGGAGAGTTACAGAGCATTAGCACATCTTGTCTTCATTTCACTGTCAATCGCGTTCACTGTTAATGTCACATTCTTGTTGTACTATCACTAAACCTGTATATGTTTGTAGGTATCAGCTTTAGCAATTTTAATTGCTAAAGTATCTTATAATTTCAATGATTTTTAGATCAGATTCTGTTGGGAAGTCGATCTATAACTAGGATTTAGAAAGTAGGAGGCTTTCAGATCTAAAACCTGAAACAAAGATTTGAATCTCAAAATTATACTATTCTTTTCATTTACTTATTTATTTATTTTTGCGTTTTTGGCGTATAAACAGAAGGGCCTAGAATCAGATCCCGTTTAGCGTTCTTTGGCATTAATTAAAAAAGGGGTTAGTGAACCACTTTTTAACCACTCTGAAATCATTTGTAAAGTTGTTAATTGGACAAGTTATTTGTGTATATAATTTTTTTTCAAGTAGAGCAAATTAACTTACAAAACTTTGAAAATCATTACACATTACGTGTGTGGCATGTAAAAATTTTCAATACCAGAACTGGGTCTCTCTCTCTCTCTCTATGGGGTTGGGGTAGGGGTGACAATTCGTGTTGACGGGTCGTATTCGTGTCGTGTTGACCCCCTCAGTTAACACGAAGAGATCTGACACGAACACGACCCGTTTATTAATCATGGCGAAATACAAAACCCAAACACGACCTGTATATTGGCGGGTTGACACGACACAACACGAATAACCCGTTTATTAAACATGTCATAAACGTGTCGTGTCAACCCGTTGATTACCTATCAACCCGTTTATAAAATGGGTGATAAATGGGTCGTGTTAACCTATTTCTAAACCTATTTTTGAACATGTTTATAAAATAGGTGATAAATGGGTCGTGTTAACCTATTTCTGAACCTATTTTTGAACCTGTTTATAAAATGGGTAATAAACGGGTTGTGTATTTGTGTTACCCAAATATGACACATTTAATAAACGGGTTATGGCGGGTCAATTGCGGGTTGGCGGGTCAATATGAAAATGACACGTTATTTATCGTGTTTCACGGGTTCGACCTGATTTGACCCGTACATATTTATGATAAACTCAAACTCGCTAATTTCGTACGGGTTTTGAGTCGTGTCATCTTGTCGCTACCCGGATTGCCAACCCTAAGTTAGGGGCTGATCCTGTACCAGAACGGGTCGGATCTTGTAATTTGAGCTCTTTATCTTTAACACCCAAAACCCAGATTCCAACCTTGGCTTTATATATAGAAACACAATGGAAGAAAGGTTTTGAGTGGCCAATAATATACCCATTCAATTGTCCCACATCGTCCAGCTCTCTTTAACAAATCTCTTCTCAACTTCTTTCCACCACTCAAATTTCTTTTCATTTCACACAATTGCCCTCCACACCTCTCTGTCTCTCTCTCCTAGCTAGCTAGGCTGCAAAGACATGAACAACTTTACAACCAAAATTTTCACAAAATCAGCCCTCTTTTTACTCTTCTTCCTTTCCCAATTGATTCTAGGTAAGCCAAAATTGAACATTAAATAATTCATATATATACACATGATGTTCTCCACTAATAATAATAATTAGTACTACTATATGATATTTATTGATATGCGTTTCCTATGATTAACCAATATGCATGCAGGATTCCATGCAGCCCATATTGACGAGTTTACTCCGACGGCTGGAATATTCCTGCCGGTCGGTCTAACGGAGTACCGATCGATAGAAGTGGAGCCTACGGCTGCAGGCAGCGGGAGCGGAGGGCGGCGGAAGCTGGCGCCATTCCAGCTATGTCTGCTATGCAAATGCTGCGCGGGCCCCATCTGCGCCTCTATGCCATGCTGCTTCGGCATCGACTGCCATCTCCCCAACAAGCCCTTCGGAGTCTGCGCTTTCGTCCCCAAAACCTGCAACTGCACCTCCTGCGCCAGTGCTTAACCAATTATATATCAAATCAAAAATTATAATATGATTAAGTGTGCCTTAATTAGTTGAAACTTATGATTAGGGTTACTCCGAAATTTCGATATAAAAGAAGGTTTTTTTTTATATTAAGGACCAATTTATACGTGGATTTGATTTTCAAATCTGGTGTGTGAGAAGATATTGTTTTGATTATGCTAAACAACAAATGCCAACCATGGCTTGTCAGAGATGTGCAAAATTTGAAAAAAAAAAAAAAAAAAAAAGGCTTGACGAACGTGACATAGGAAAAAAAGTGTTGTACCGACCACGTGGGACAACTGGCAGTAATGTATACTTGCTGAAGAGATTATGTATAGATAGTTATAAACATTTTTGTATCTTTGATTGATCTATTGTATTAGTGGTTCATGAATTAATAATACAGTGAAGTGACTTAAGTGGGGTACTTACTCTTTCACTTTTCATTAGCTATTCTTTGTTCTTTTATATGGTTGATTGTATTATTTGTTTAATTTCTTATATGGTTGATTGTATTATTTGTTTAATTTCTTTCTTTGTTCTAATTGCTCATTAAATTATACAAGGTGAAAAATTGTAACTCTCTTAATCTCTCTCTCTCTCTCTCTCTCTCTCTCTCTCACACACACACACGTTTACAAGTTAGTCATATTTCAAGTACTAGTATCATTTCTTCCATGTCGGACAGATCTCGAGTAAAGAGCTCTTTCACTCAAGTCAATAATTGGGCATTAACATATATAGTACGCTGCTTTTACAAGTGGTTATATACTATCGGATCTCTCTTTCTTTATTTTTATTTTTATTTTTTGAATCATAATTTGGATTAGGAGGGAAGAGTAAGTTCATCATTTTAAGGGAGTATAAGACACTCATTTAATAAGAATTTGTTGCATATTTAATATAGTATACTATTATATTATGGATCTTTTGATAGAGGTTTTACTTATGTTTTGAATGAGCATTTGGAACCACATTTTTAACAGAAAAAGAAAAAAAAAGAAAACACTTAATAGATCAAAATGATTTCAAAATTTTCTCGCAACAATAAAAATATTAGAATAAAGTTTATAATATGTCAAAAAATTGTAAAGTCTATTCAAAAGAGTTTCTTCACAAGCCACATTTTATGATTTTGATTGAAACCTATTTTAGAGAATAAAAGTTCTTGCGGTAGATAATTCAAACACTTCCACAAGAAAGTAGCATTTAAGAAGCTCTTTAAACATACAATAGAATATATATATATATATATATATATTATATGTGTGTACATGCACGCGTGTGAAGAACAAACTAAAGTCACATATGATAAGAGATCTTTAAACGTTTGCTCGATTGAGCATTTGTGATTTTTTTTTTTTTTTTGGAATAGTGAGCTTTTGGGATTTTGAGTATATGAGTATGTAAGTACAAACTAAAGTTCATTAATCAGTACAAAAGAGATTAGATTTAGGTTATGTGTGTTAACTAGGGAGATATTTGTCCTGATCAGTTGCCGCCTATGCACGCACTATATAATATTTGTGAATCCCAAGTTCTCAATTATCAATTACTTTTTGTCCATTCAGTGAAGTTAGGTCCCTTTCAACATCCCACAAAGTTGAATTAGGCGGAAAAGAGTTCTCACTACTTATCAACAAATAATAGATGGACTTCTGCGCCACTCTATCTTGTCAGTTTACTCCGTCACCAATTACACCAAAAAAAAAAAATCATAATTCTCGTACACATGCACATCCATATACATACATGTATAAGCACATATACGCATGCACTTATGTGTTATGGGATCTCCAAAGGTTTCTAAGTTCCTTTGTACTAGAACTACCTGCGAAGTTCAGTTCTCGAGAGCTTGTTTGATAAAGAAGGAAGAGTGGAAGGAGGGCGAAGGTGAAGGAATTATAAATGGGCGCATAATTAATATATTTTACCTTTATTAAAAGCATTACACGTGCCTCACATGCTCATTCCGTCCATTTTTAATGGTTTTGTCACAAAGATTGAAAGTGCAACGTTTATTAAGCACATAGGCCGTTAGTGTGACGCTTGAAAATTTAATGGTAAAAGGAGGCGAATATTCTTCCGGGGGGCTCAAACTGAAATTAATCCTAAAATTTTTAATGGGTCCGTTATCCATACTAGATTTTTTTTTTAAAAAATGAAGGCGTTTGATATCATATGTGTATATATTTGGATAATGAATCATGCATGTTACCAAAATAGGTGATCATCACATCTTACTTCATATGCTTAAACATTATTGTGGTACATTTTGGCATTTGAGATTTAGGATTTGGCTATTTGGAGAAAAATTGGAATGTTTGTCTATCTTTGCCGCTCTTGCACACACTATAAGTATGTCTGAACGCATATAAAGTTCCACATCTATCAAATTTGCCTTTTTGTGTATTCAGTAGTAATATGTCCCTTTCAACAGCTAGCATTAGCAAAACTAGATTTAGGAGGTAAAGTCCTCACTTTATTAACAAAGGATGGACTTCGGTGGCACTCTTTTTTGTCCATTGACTCAGCCACCGAACTTCACATTGGCTCCTCCTTTGGTTAGAAACTCTTTGGATAGACGTCATGTGATAAAATGTAGTTTCATATTGATGTACAACTAATATATTGTACTTGTTCACAAGGGTTAATTATGAGCTATTTAACAATATTCGAAGCTGTTACACCATGGTCGAGAAATCGACCATTCTCTCGAACGACAGGCGCCGAGGACTCCCCGTTAGGAGTCGGTCGCTGGCGTCGAGGGAACAGTTGTAGCTAAGGTGCCCTTTACGTCGAGAGATCATACGTGGCGAGAGGCGTCGAGCACAATGACTCGACTTCTGAAGGTCACTGCGTCGAGACAGCACGTCCAACAAGACCCATCAACGGTCTTATCAACTTGGGGAAGGAAGTACTGGTCCAACCGCTACTGCAAGAGTCAGGAAATCAGGTGGCAGATGAGAGGGATCAGCCGCATTTCCTGAGGCTGTCATCATGAAAACTCACCTACCCTCCCGTGGATCGAGGACGGAAGATGGCTTCCCCCTTGGAAATGAAGAAGGCATGATCAAATGTAAAGGCCTATAAATAGAGCCAAGAAAACCCAAAAAGGGGCTACGCACTATTACATTATTCAAGAAAGAACTTGTAATCTCTGAAAGATTAGTGCATCCACAAGTGGACTAGGCCAAGAATCCTTGCCGAACCACTATAAATTTCTGTCTTCTTTACATTATTGTTAAGCTTCAATCCTTAACCAATCTGTGAGTGTCGTTGTGAGGGTTCTTGGAGAGATAATCACGAGTTGTCAGAAAAACACCGTTAACAATTGGCGCTAGAAGGAGGGCCTTTAAGCCCATAAATCTAATCCAGTTTTTAACAAAAAGAAACAACAACTATGCCTCCCAGGAATGCTCGCATGATAACAGCCGACCAGAGGAGCCAGGCAAGCCAAAATCCCACCGCTGCGGGGACCTCAACGAATCCGCTCCCACCGGCTGCCGTAAATCCCCCAGACCGTATTGACCAGCTTCAAAAGAAGGTCAAAACGCTCACCGCAGCCATTGAGAGGATGGCTACGGCCCTTGCTGGGTGGGATCAAGGGCAGGACTCAATGCCACCGTTGGAGGACGCGCCGATGAACCCGGTGAACGCCGCCGTTGGGAACCAAGAGATAGGTGACCAACGCGGTGACACCGAGGAGGTCGGTAATAGTAGAGCCAATGATCCTCGCCCAACCAAGTCGAACAGGTCTGTGGGGAGTACACAACGGGCGGCACGGAGGACAGCGCGGGAAAAGGCTGCGGCGCAAGCTGTGAATAATAGGGACGCGCCCCCTCGACCGCAACAGGACGCAAATAGGAGGAATACTGTCCCCGTGGGATCTTCGTCTGTGCACGGTAGAGACCTTAGGACGAGGCTCGACGCTCGACGTGAGAAAGTCGTGCAGCTGGCAAGAGAGGAAGAGCTCGTAGCAGATAACAAGGCTCTGGCCGAGAAGATGGCCAGGCTTGAAAAGTAGATCGAGAGTCGATTAAACAACTTCGAGCAGGTTGTGGGGAAGTTAGCCGAGGCGGTCAACGTCGACGCCAGGATGTACACATCCCACGACCACCCGTTCACAGAAAATGTTATCCGGGTGCCGCTTCCAGACAAGTATAAATCGCCCCACATTCCGCTATATGACGGAAGGAGTGATCCGGACAACCACTTGGAGGTGTACACAGGACATATGGTCCTGTGTTGCCTAAAATTGTGAATCTAGAATCTCGCAAGTGCACGAGTCAACAAGTAGTAAAATGATGAATAACCAAGTATCGTCCTACAGGGATTGAGTGTTTTTGAAATCAAGTTGCTAAGTTAATTCTATTCAAGTTTTAAGAAGAAAATTAAAGTTGATTTTCAGATGTTAAAAGCTAATAATAATTTGACTGTAAGAAAATGAACAACAAAGATAAAACTAATTAATAACAAAATGTGCAAATAAAATTGGCCAAAGTCACTGTGCGTGGCTCACAATTGCTAAACTGTCTCCTATCAATGCTGCGCGATGCTGCAGCAACGGACAGCAACGACTACTTCCTGTTAACCAGATTTACTAAACCAGGGATTTTCCAATCCTCTGTCTACTGACCTTAAAGCTAAATCCCACAAATCTATTTGCAAATCTAGACTCTAAAATCAGAGAATGAAGCTCTAAATCATATGGTTATGCAAGACACAATATATTCCTATATCATGTTAATCAAAAATCTAAAACAAGATCTAAGAACATGCACTATTCAAGCTGTGTCCACTTAACTAAATCTTCCCATATCTAATCAAAGCTATACTCCCCTCTTATGATTTCCCAATCACAGTTAAGGCACAAATTCAACTCACTTGAATAAACAAAGAAATAATCATTAGATCCATTCAACATCAACTAACATTTCAATATTTAACAACTCAACAATCTCAGCCAACAAATCATAATCTCATAGAATTATATATGGATTCGAGTTCAGATTTATAAAGAAACGTAAATGTTCTTCAACAAGGTAAAACAGAGTATTGAGAGTAAGAAAAACTAAGGTGATGAGGAGAGAATCTGAATCCCCCTTTTCTAAGGTTTCTTTTAGCTCTTCCTGCATCAACAATGGAACTTCCTTTACGTTCAACACCCTGTGATGTTTTCTTCTTCTTCTTTCCAATATTGGAGCTGGTACTTGATCAGAAAAATGGAGGTGGTTTCCTTTTCCAAGTTCAGCCGCCTCTACGTTACAAAATATGACCAAGGACCCCTTCTTTCTTCTCAGCTGCAGGTACTTATTGTACCCTAATTCCATGTGGCAGCACATGAGAAAGCCTCCAATGAGTGGCTCAATCAGCACCCTTCACGGACAAAATCATCCCATTAACCAGCTCAGGTCCA